ACGGGGCATCTCTTTCTCATCTCTGCCTCCTTGATCTCTTCCTTTTATAGTTTGCACAAATATTTTATTGAGTCAAGATACACCCTACACTGATCCTGCCTAGTTAACATAGCAAAGAGAGTCCACTCCCAAGTGAAATTATAACCATAGGTGGAAAGTGTAGGATTTGCAGCACATATTTTAAAGAGATGACCCCATTGAGCCTGTAACAGCAAACCCATGTGTTAGGAATAGATCTGCTCCCTAGGTTTTCCTTGACTGTAGTGATGATGCAGACAACCACCAGGTGTTTCATCTATTATGTCAAACGAAGGGTTCAAACTGCCCCTTTAGGTTAATAGCTGAGTATAAACTGCACAATTCATAGACCTTGATGATAGATGGCAATCATACATTGACAGAACGATTTCTCCTTCTCTTTAAAAGAATTTGGCCTTAGACTGTTTTACTAAGCTCCATTTCCCTGGTCAACCAAAATACTATGTCCACAGCTCTCCTAAGCAAACTTATTTATTGTATTTAGTCTGGTAGCAACATGCTAAGAAGATACATCAATTACACTACTAGACAACTTGATCAAAATGACTCTCAATTGGTCAATTATTTTTGAAATGGACAACTGCCTTGCAGGAGTCTTGGGAACTAAGCTATGATCGATCATAGGTTGTTACAAGAGATAAGTGGATCCAGTGGAGTGTAGGGATCCTAACTAAGGCAAGAACGACTCTGGATCTTCTAGTATTGTCTTGCTTCCTTACTCCTGGGCCATTACCTGAAATATAAGCGGAAACATCTGCTGGGCAGATATACTGCTTTTATCATTAGGTATCATTGAGTCGATTCTGACTCATAGCAATCCTGTATACAACAGAACAAAACACGGCCTGGTCCTGCACCAGCCTCACAATTGTTATATTTGAGCTCATTGTGGCAATCCATCTTGTTGAGGACCTTCCTCTTTTCCCTCTGCCTCTCCATTTTACCAAGCATGATGTTCTTCTCCAAGGGCTGGTCACTACTGACAACATGTCCAAAATTTGTGAGACAAACTCTTGCCATCCTTGCTCTAAAGAGCATTCTGGCCTTACTTGGTCCAAGACAGATTTGTTCATTATTTTGGCAGTCTATGTCCTTTTGAAAACCAGTTTTATTGGCATATGGTCCACATATGATATAATTCAATAGTTTAATCATACCCAGAAGTGTTGTACAATCATTACCACAATTTTAGAACATATTCATCTTTCTTGCACTCATGTTATTAGATCCTCATTTCCCCCAACCTCTTCTGCCACACCCCCAAGAAACCATTAGTCCAGTTACTGTCTCTACAGATTTACATATCCTGGATTTCATATACAGGAAAACATATGAAAATAAACAAACACCCACCGCCACAACAAAGACAAAAAACTGACAACACTAAGTAAAACAGGAAAACCTCAAACAGAAAACATTAAAAACTACAATAACTTTAAAATGGGTAAAAGGGGAGCTCAAATGATTAAATGTTAATTTTTAACCTACCTATATCTGTAATAATCCACTTTCCAGTGCCCTCTGCATGATAGCAAGACTTTTCACATCACTGGACTTTGGTCAGAGGGAATTCACCTGAGGCTTAATCCACACTTTTTTAACTGAACCAACTTTTAAATGGGTAAAAAGGGAGATCAAATAAGACATTACATTTTAACCTAACTGTATCTGCCATAATCAAGTTTACAATGCTGTCTGATAACAAAGCTATTCACATTCCTTGACTATGGTTAGAAGGGATTCACCAGAGGCTTAATCTATGTGTGCACCCTGCAAATGGGTTTGGGGCTCCGTCAACCATAACCTTCTGCAAACCAGGTGTTCACAATTCATGTTCTGATACCATTCCTGCCTTAGGATTTGGATTATATTATTTACAGACCTTGGATCACACAGGCTGGTGTGCTTCTTTCATGTGGGGTTAGTTGACGTCTCACTTAGAGGACTGCTTGTTTGAAGGCAATTCTTTAAGATCCCACATGCTTTTCTTTCTAATAGCCGAGCACCATCTAATTTCTTCACCACATTTTGCTATAGCACCTATATCTTCAGTGATCACTTCCTGAGGGCATGTATAAGCAGGACCATGTCATAAGAAATAATGGCTCTTAAATTCGGCCTAGGATTGAGGGTGAGCCCAAAATCTTGTGGTACTTTTAATATGGGTACAGCTAAAGGGCTTCTGGAAAAACTATTTTCACTGAAGGAAAATGCCAGTTGGACATTATGCTCTTTATATTTATTAAAATAAATTAATCAAATGACATAATAGTGTGTGGCCAGGTGGAATTTGAGCTCCAGAGCCAAAAGATACTTCTGGTTGCTTGATCATGGAGAGAATGGCCCCAAAATTGCATCCATAAGGTAAAATCCATCATACAAAATTTCCCGTGTGTTTGGTTGCATGGAAATGTTGAACCATGATATTTGGGTCTTTTCTTCTTAGAACAGAAAACTTGTATTTCAGCTTAAAAAACGGTTATTCACACTGACTTTCAAATATGGTAGTGGGGGATGTGAGGGCGATCCTCTTGGTTACATTGCCCTTGATCACGCCCTACCAGGCCTCCTACACCCTCCTTACCATTGATTTTGGATCACTTATTGTTCCCTTGTCCCTGGGTTTACTAACACCCACTTCCTTTTTCCCACCTCTCCCTCTCCCATGTCCCCCTGGAACCATTGGTACCATTGTTTTTTACACCAGATTGTTTATCCTGCCTATCTTATCTAGATAGACTTGCAGAGATAATAATAGGCACAAAAAGCAAGACAGAGGAAAACAAAGCAACAAAAGAAATCAAAACAGCAACAACACCAAGAAAACAACAAAAAAACAAAAGCCTGTAAATAGTTCGAGGTGTATTTGTTGACCTGTAGGAGTGTTTTCCGGTCAAGTCTGATGGGGTGCCAAGCCCTAGCCCCAAAGTCTATTTTTGGTACTCCCTGGGGACTTCATTGCTCTGTTCCCCTTGCAGTTCTCTTGCCCACCCTTAGTGTTTTGCCTCAGTGTGGTGAGGCCAGATCAGATGCAATTCCCGAACTGTGTCTCCAGTGTTTTCTGAGCAGGAATATCATCTTCAGAGCTTGGTGGGCCAAGATGTGCTCCACTCTCTCTTCCTTTCCCTTCATTTGCTCCCGTGTGCTCTGATCAGACATGTCCCTCTCCCTCAGTGAAGCGTCAGTACTGTCCTCTGAAATAAATTCTTCTGGGGGAGGGGCAGGTGTCCATGTAGTTGGGATTGGGGCCTTTCCCCCAGACCTCTCCACTGGTTCCCTACTCCACACCGGCATTTTGCATTCACGTCTTGGAGCACAGGGTTGAAGTTTGGTCCCTCTTTCCCTGTGGAGATATAAACAACCCCCTCCCCGTGGGTGGGTTAGTGCCCTGTTACCTGCTACCCATGTCTTTTTTTTTTCTCCCCCCCCCCCCCCTTTTTAGTTGGCTACCATGGGTATCCCTGGATTTGGTCCCCTGCTCAATATAACAGATGCTACTCACCAGGTGATGGTGTAGAGCAACATCTGTATGAACTCACTCAAACTCACCGCCCTCAGGGAGTCCATTCTGACTCACAGTGACAGGACAGGCCGGAGGAGAACTACCCCTCTGGGCTTCCGAGGCTGGAAATCTTTATGGGAGCAGAAAGCCTTATCTTTCTCTTACCCAGAAGCTGGTCGGTTTGAACTGCTGACCCTGCATTTAGCAGCCAAACACATAACCCACTATGCCACCAGGACTCATTATCTTTATGAACTGTAGTGTGACAATTGATTGAATTGTTTCCTAAAAATGATGGTCCCAAGGTTTCAAACCAAACCCAGTAATCCAAAACGTCATTTCTTTTCAAGGAAGATGCATTACTTTTATGGTTAGAATAAACAATAACATATTTTTGTTTCTCTAGTCAACCTGGTCTAATACCGTTGCTATGGGCTAGAATGGACTACAAGGCAGGAATATTGGGGTACTGTCATCCACACAAATGCAGACCTAGAAAATACTGCATTTCGGTGAATCTTAATGTCTATCGCTGCCGTTCACAAAACAGGAGCCCTAGTGGCCCAGTGCATTAGGCATTCGATTCCAGGTTCGTAGTTCAAGCTCACCAGCAGTGCTCCGAGAGAGCGCGCTATCTGCTTCCGCAGAATCACAGCCTCAGTAGCCCACAGGGGTGGTCCTACTCTGTTTCAGAGGTCACTAGATGAGCTTGAATTTGGGGTTTTGAGTCAGTTCCCAAACGAATCCATGACACTAACTAAACTCGCTGCCATCAAGGCAGGAACTCTGGTGGTACTGAGTTGGTAACCACAGGATCAGGGGTTCAAAGTCACCGGCTGCTTCCTCGGTCTTTAGATGCTGCCCTACAGGGGTTCCGCGATGGCAGCGACGAGTATGAATTCACGATGCAGCGCCCGGAAACACTGGCCAGTACCAGAAGAGCCTGGACACGTGACCGGGCTCACTCCGAGCATCACGCAGCGAACTACACTTCCCATTTTTCTTGGGGTTCTCCAGTGGACTCCATTTCCCAGAGGCGTCGGCGGCCTTGCCTCCAGAGCCCCCTCCCCTGCCTCGCCTGGGCCGCCCTGGGGCGCGGGGCGTTTGCCGCCGGGTGAGCATCTCTGGGGCCAGAGGGGTCCGGGCATCGCTAGGTACTGCGGGCGGGACGTGGGGTTCGATCGCGGCCGGGCAGTTAGGGAGCCTCCCGCCCGCGTTGCGGCGCCGGGTGAGGCCGGGCCCCGGACCCCGAGGCTGGGCGAGCGGCGGTGGCAGCGGCGGTGGGATGCGGGAGGGAAGAAGGGGGCCTCCGGAGGAGCCGATGCCGGGGTGCTTGGGGTTGCGGGCGCGGCGCCCCGAGGACAGGCCCATGCCAGGGTAACAGAAGACATGGGCGGGGCGGGCCTTGCGGCCGCCGGGTGCCCACTTAAGCCTTTGTGGTGTCTGGCGGGCAAGGAACCCTCGCACACCCAGATGGTTCTCCCCCCACCCTTCGCCCCGAGACACCGTCCCTGGACCCTCAGTTCAGACAGGACACATCCTCCCCACGTGCACCAAGGCCACAGCGACCCTCCTGCCAATTCCCTACAAGCCCCTGCTAGCATTTGCAGTTGCTACCTTCCTTCCGTTAAAAAATGCAGTTCCTTACCATCCCCGTCTCTGTGACCGATGGGATGCTCTGCTTGATGGCAGAGAAAGGTGTTGGTCCCATTCCTACAATGGCAGAGCCAGGACGCTATGGAATAGCTGCCACAGCCCCGCCATCGGAGAGCCTGCTTGTCTTTTTAAAATTTTAAAATCTAGGCACTGGTTCTTCGACAGGAGAGAAAGGAATAACGTAGGAAAGAGCTCCAGAAGGAGAAAAGTTGTCAAGTGGTGAAGAGCTAGCGCTTGACACCCTCCAGCCTTGCTTGAAAACCTCCTGCTGTCCTCACAGTCAGCGCGAACTCAGGAAGATCGACTCCCACTGGGTCCGCGGTGTCTGTTCACAACGCAGGGATGCTAGCTCGTGCTGCGCGGGCAAGTCTGGTTCTCTCGTGCCCCTGCTCTGCCAGCTCTTGGCTCCTTCTTGTCCCCCTTCCTGAGGGCCCCTTGGTCATTCTCAGTGTAAAGATTTCAGAGTTGCTCATTCAGAGGAGTAGCCAACAGGAGGGCCCTTCCTTCTGTCTCCCTTTTTCTTCTCTCGGGTACCCCTTCTAGTGCCCCCATCCATCCCCAGAGGAAGGGCCCAGAAAGAGGACATGGCTCCTGGGCAAAGGAAGGCAAGGACGCAGGTGAGTCCGTTTCTCTTTCCGTTCCCAGGGATGCATGTTTTCCTTACTCTCTTCCTGAAGTGTTTGTTGCCCTGCACAATGTTTTCCAGGATCTGGAGCCCAAGAAGAGGGCTCTAAGAAGCCCTCTTTTCCCTAAGAAGAGTTGGTCTACCTGGTGCTTGAGTCTGAAGAGCTTGCCCACGCCCCACCCATGTCTAGTGTTCATCCCAACCCCTTCCTCTCTCTTTTATTCCTGACTGGCATACGTTTGTACATCAAGCTCAATCCACTCTGTGGTTACTAACTGAGCAGCTAAAATGCCATGTGTTTTAGCTCACTGGGAGCAAGGGGAGCAAGGCACGCGTGGAAAACTCTTTGCTGGTCTGCCTCCTTCCCTCACCATGCCTTCCTCCCTTCCCTGGGGAAATGCTCTTCTCTTTCTTCCCACTCCTGATAGCGTCTTTAGACGTCACCATCCCAGAGTTCTTAGGTTTGACTTCCCTCTTGATTTTATGTATTACTAGTCTTGCTTTTACCACTTACTTAAGCACTGATTATGACAAGGCAGTATCAATATTCCCAGCTCGTGGGAATCTGGGGGGAGCCTGGCTGGGGGACGCGCTCTGGTCTTCAAGGGCAGAGGGAAGACACCTCAGTAGGCCACAGAGGCAGTTCCATGGCGGAGGCCATGTCCACAGAGGTTAAGAATAGGGCTCTCAGCTCAAAAGTCAGGGGTTGTAACCATTTCTGCCGTTACGGGCCTCTGTGCTCCAATGTTCTTACCTATAAGAGGAATAACAGCTATCAGTTACCTAGGGCTGCTACAACAGAAATAGCACAAGTGGGTAGTTTTTAAAAACCACCTTATTTTCTCACAGTTCAGGAGGTTAAAAGAAGTCTGAATTCGGGGTGCTGGCTGTGCAGGCAGGCTTTGTCTGTAGACCTGGGGGAAGGGCCTTTTCCTTGGCTCCTTGTTGATCTTCATGTGCCGTAGCATCTGTGTCCCCCTCATCTCCGCTTCTCTATGTCCTTGTTGCTCATTTAATTTCATTTATATCTCAAAAGAGAATGACTTCAGTCACACCCTACACAAATACTGTCTCATTAACATGATAAAACCCCTGCCCAAGTGGGATTATAATCTAGGGTATAGGGATTCAAACCCTTATGTAACCACTATAAGGTATAGGTGTTAGGATTTAAAATTAGAGTTTTGGGAGCACAATTAAATCTATAACAGCAATAATCTCTACTTCATAAGGTAGATGAGAGAATCACAATCGTTAGTATGTAGAAAGGGTTTAGGCCAGGGCCACGCACATAGTAGATGCCCAATATGTGCTTGTTGTGGTAACTGAGCAATATTATTGTATGACTAGACAGACACTGCTATTCAATGTTTCTAGGCCCTAGAAAATACTTGTTCTTTACTCATCCTTCACCTAACTGTAATTTGAGAAGTTGATAGAAGAGCCAGCATGCTTGGGAATATGCTGAGTGCTGTTCATTTGTCATTTCTTAATGCCATGGCGATTATTATCCATGTATTTAACTATAAGGGAATGAGAGACCAAAGAAGTCGAGGCATTTGAATCCAAGCCCATATGTTCTCTGGTGTATACATTCATCGCTGTTAGACATCCATTCTCAGATACATCATTCAGAATGCAGGGCAGAAACAACCCATGTAGTCTCAGAGTTCTGCCATGTGATGTCCAGTAGACCCATGAAATGAACAGGCATTTTATCTTCTGAGGCTAAAGCCGGTCCCAGGCCCACAGCTGCATGATTGCTCTTCTTTCTTGTACGCCATTTTCATACATTACTCCTGAGCCTAGTTATTCCCTTGACCAGAATCTTTTCCATCCTTGTGTGTGATTGGATTCTGTGTGAAATTCTCTAAATTTTATTTGATGCCTAGATGTCAACACTGCCTGAATTTAGGTGTAAAAATCAGTGAACAGTTTAAGACTAGAAAGCTCATACAGACTGCTGGGTTAAAAGTTAGAACACATTTGTTACAGTTCTGCTTCTACCACTAATCAAGTATGTCACCTGAGGTCCAGACTACCCTGGACCTTGTATTCCTCGTCTATCCAATGACAATTGAACTAGGAGATGGTGTGTGGTCTGGTCTAATGGCACACTCCTTTGGTTGGTTCAATAATTTAACAATTATTTCATGTATTTTTATGGTCTGCTGGTTAACTCATAAATTCTTTAAGGGCCAGAATTATTTCTTGTACTTATTTCCCCCAATGTCAATGATAAGGTATCTTTCTTAAAAGTATACAACATGCTTATGGTAAAAATTTCAGAGAAATACACACACACACACATACAATTATATGTGCATGTGCATGAGTGTGTGTGTAAATAAAGTAAACACATTCTTAAATTTCACCACCTGGTGACAATCACTGTGTATTCATTAGAATAATTTTCTATGTGCAAATATAATTTATTTATGCTTTGCACAAATGAGAACCAATTATACTTAATGACATGTACTTTAGAGTTTTTGCACTTATTATTATCATGGATGTCAGCAAATATATACTAGATACTTAATCATAAAAACTAAAACCAACCAAACTTGTTGCTATGTGGCTTTAGACAGATTTCTTACCCTCGCTGTGATGTTATTTTCTCATATGTAAAACAGGGATAGCACTAGTACCTGCTTCATAGGGTTAATTAGGATCATCTTTATAGGGTGATTGTGGGGATTAAATAAAGATTATATTAAGATTAAAATAAAGTCCTAAGAATAGTTCCTGACCCATAGAAAGGATTCAATAAATGAGAGCTTAATTTTAATTATCATTATTATTATACTTAAACTTGAGTAATCTGTTTACAATCATAAATATAATGGCATAGCTTATATTTTACCTAGCCTTCATCAGTTTCATTTATTGCTATTACAAAACCATAACAGATAACTTATCTCTTTATTTTTGTGTACTATTACAAATAAAGTAATTAGTGAGCTAAAGAGCATGGACATTTTAAAGCTTTTAATATATGTCTTCAAATCCACCATTAGATTAATTAACACCTTCACTACTGTTCTGAATACTTACACATCTCTTACAGTTAGCAGTGCCTGGTTCATACTCTATGCTGCTCAGTATTGAATATTTGCCAGTGGCTTATTGTTTATTTCAAATGACCTAGAGCCTTCCAAGCCTTGAACAATATCTGATTTTTCCCCCTGGATAACCTCCCCCTGCCTCCCTTCCCCTTCCCCCACACTGTCTTGCATTCTCTGTGTTGCGTAGTCCGGGGAACTGAAGTGCTTCTCCTTACAGGTGTCCGTGACGTTCAAGGACGTAGCTGTTCTCTTTACCCGGGCTGAATGGAACGAGCTAGAGCCTTCTCAGAGGGACTTGTACCGGGATGTGATGCTGGAGAACTACAGCAACCTGGTTTCGTTGGGTAAAGAAAAGTTCCCCTGTAGATACAGAAATAAGAAATTATATAGGTTAGCATCTTCCCAGGATAAAAAATGTGGCTCATCAATAAATTTTATCTGGGTTTTATCAAGGATTGTCATTATGGAATCTTTACAAATAAATATTAAAACACATTCCTCCCCAATTGGCATAGAATTGCTCCATGTGTGAGCATACAGGCAATGCTATTGATAATTAATTATTCTCTCCCCTCAGGCATTGGAAATGTCTGCATGGTTGAGGCATCGTTTTCTTAAACCGATCACTGTGGTGTGTTTGCTCATCTCTCACAGAGAGCTTTTTTCAATCTTTTGGACCTGCCACTTGCCTTTTCCACTTCCCTTTTCTAGAGAGATGAATACTGTATATATACCTCCTGCTCAGTAAGCTTTTTCTGTGAAGGGACAGATAGTAAACATGCAGTGCTGCATATGCCATATTTCTCTCCGCACATGCTTAATTATAACATCATCATGTCTTGTAAGTCATTTGTTGTCCCCCAGCACATCCCCTCTCATATTCGGGGGGCCAAGCCCAAATAACCTGCAGAAGCTTGATGCAGCCTGTCTTAACGGAGTTTTCCTTTCAAATGGTTGTTCTCATGACCAAAGATCCTCAACTAAGCACCGCTATATGTTTTCTTTCCCCGGAAGTTTGATTGGCATATCATTCACATGTCGTACAATTCAATAGTTCCGTCGTCTCCAGAAGAGTTGTACAACCACCACCACAGTTCTTCCCTCTTGTACTCATCGTTATTGACTCCTCATTTCCCCACAACCTCCCCTGCAGTTCCATGAGAGAGCAATTAATTCAGTTACTGTCGCTACAGACTTATCTATCCTATACAGAAAACCATTTAAAAACAAACAAATACAACTATGAAGAATAACAAAGTAAAACAGAGAAAACCTCAATAGATAAGAAAGCAGAAAATATTGAAAACTAGGGCAACTTTAAATGAATCATAAGGAAATCAAATGATAGAGTACTAAATTCTAACCTAACTGTATTTGCAACAGTCCACTTCCCAATACATTCTTCGTGTTAGCAAAAATGTTCACATCCCTGGTGCTTGGTCAGAGGGAACTCACCGGGGGTTTAATCCTTATGTATTTCCCCTCTCTTTTTTAAAACGGAAACAGCTCTAAAATGGGCCCAATGCGAGACTGATATTCTTCTTTTATTATTATTATGAGTTGGGATTTATTACATATATTACATCATTCCAAATTTCAATCACTGTCAAGTAGAATGTACAATTGCTACCCACAATCAGTTCCCGAGCATTCTGCTCTTCTTTATATCAAAAGAAAACCAGATCTTTTTTATCTGTAAGTAGGACCCCCATTTTCCACGCCACAAGTGATCTCCCTGTTACAGCAAGGAGAAGAGCCTTGGAAGGTGGAGAGAGACACTCCTGGAGGCTCCTCTCTGGGTGAGTGGATGGGACTCAAGTACCGGGGTACCACCGCCTCTTTGGTTAGTTAAAGAGGAAGATGTACTTTGGAGTTGTTGATTGAGAATCGTTCTTCAAATTTCTCATCCTCAAGGGAAAGCAGGGTAGATGAAACCTGACAAGGGCTTTCTCACAAAGCAAAGCTATTGCAGGAATTGCAAATCATTCATTCTGGTGGAAACGTGGGCTATGCCTGTGGGAAGGGAAGGAGATGAAGAAGACACAGAAAACTTAGGTGGGGCCACTTAATTAAGTCCTTTGTTAACATTCTAATTTATTTGCACTTCACTGTGGATAGTGATTACCTGCTAGCTGAGAGGCCTGGATCAAAGCGTGTGCAGTGGCGTTCATGAGGAAGCAAAAACAAAACAGAAAACACAGGATGGGAAGCAGGTTTCTTAAGGTATAGGCTGAGGACAGTGTAGAATGGCTGTCTTGTCAGATGCAGGTAAATAGTCAATGGGCAGTCGTGTAGGGTAGGTGGATTGGAACTCAAAGAGGAGTCGATGGAGTCACCAGTACAAAGTGACATGGGAACCCTTGAGCTGACTAAGAGAGTAGAGAATAGAGGTCTGAATCCCAGGACACGTGACCGTTCTTCGTTAGGTGGGTTGTGAAAGCAGAATCTGTGGTGGGGCCCTAGGAGAAGTCGTCAGTGGGAGAGAAATGCGAGGGTGGCTGGTGTTGAAGCTAAGGGATGAGAGCTGATTAAGTTAGGGCTGGAGTCAGAGGGTGAGGGTTCCTTGCCTACTCCTCGTTTGCCACTTAGAACCGAGTTCATATTGGGTGGGTTCTGTACCGGGCCCTGGTGGCGCGACGTTGGTGAGAAAGAGACGGAGGTCCTGCTCTTGTGGAGCTTACTCACAGGCTGGTGGGGAAGAGACGTGCGAATACGGTAAATGTGCACAGAGCCTTGAAATGAACGTCTGAAAATTACCAGGAAGGACAGACAGACAATGCATATACTAAGAAGGGGCAGTATCAGCAAAGGCTTCTTGGGGAAGTGGGTCCTGGACAGGGTGCTCTGGGGATGTAGAAAATGTAATCCGGGCTTAAGAAAACCAAACCCCTTGCCTTTGCATCAATGCCGACTCATTGTGACGCTACAGGACAGAGTAAGACCGCCCTATAATTTCCAAGACTAAAATCTTCACAGACCCGATTGCCACATCTATCTGGCTGGTTTATTTAGCAGTTGAGCACTTAACCACTGTAGCCTTAGGGCTTCTAGCGCAGCCATGGGAGTGGCCATTCTCAAGATCAATCCTGAGAAAGGAAGCCAGTTAGTCAAGATGCAGAGCAAGGAGAATGGTGTGCGTGGGCTGGAAGGGACCAGGTTACCCTGAGCGCTGGACCCTGTCAAAGAATTTGGTTTGTATCTGAGAGCCATGAAAAACCCCTGAGGAGCTGAAGTAATGGCCATATGGCCAGGTTCAAATTCTGAAATGGTCCCACTGTGGCCAGTGTGGAAAGCCTGCTGAAGTGGAAGGGTGAAGGCTTGTCTCAGCCTGTTGTTAGGTCCTTGCAAATCAGTGAGGATCCCCAAGCAAGAAGCTGCAGGAAAAGCTGCCTATTTCCTGGAAGCCCACATGCTACAGAGGAGCTTTTTCTTGTCTGTAAGTTGAGGGGTTTTTTTTTTCTACAAATGTGTACCAATGTTATCTATCTTCTTAACGCACATTTGGGAGATGCACACAAAACCTTGTGTAAAACTATAAAGAGCTACTGCCATAGAACCACAGAATGCAGGCAGCACCCTCACTTCTAAGGAGCATTCTGGCTGTACTTCCCCCAGGACAGGTTTGTTTGTTCGTTTGGCAGTCCATGGTGCTTTCAATAACTCTTCATCAATAGCATAAACAATGCATCAATTGTTCTGTGGTCTTTCTTATTCATTTTCCAGCTTTCATGAGCATATGAGTGATAAAGACACCATAACTTAGTTCAAAGTGACATTTTTTTAATACTTTAAAGAAGTATTAAATTTGCCCATTGCAATATTCTTTTTTTTTTTTATGTTTCTTTTTTTTTCTTTTAATTATTTTATTAGGGGCTCATACAACTCTTATCACAATCCATACA